TGGCATGATTTGTCATGTTTTTGTCAGGCCCAGGAAGCCTCTTCKGTGTAATAACAAATAGAATCTCTGTTGTGATCAGCATTGGGCTTGAAGACTGAAAAAATGTTGTCCCATTTAGTCTCATTTAGTCTGATTTGACATCAGTGCAGCAAGTGGTAGTTGCCCCACTTATGCTAATTTTTATTATGAAAGTGCTTGGTAATATGAAGTCTACATGGCAAATCTAGAAATACATGAATTTTCCTAGCAAAATACCCTGTCTTCCAGAATTTGAATCAAATTATGAAACCTCTCATCAGAAACTTACTGTTATGTTCCTAACCTCTAAATAAATTTTTGACAAGTTTATGTAATACTTGATAATTATGGTGACTGCATCTATCAAAAAAAAATTTGAATGGGTAAGATGAACACAGCTTTCTCTGAAAGGGAGATTAAAGTGATTGATCTCAGGCTGTGTGCCTTTTAATAACCTGATATGACAGGGTTATAACAAGACCACTGAGCAACAGATGTTATCAGTTTGCTGTGTGCCTGAGTTGTTTTTTCAAGATAAAACCCAAGAACAAGGACTCAAGGAAGGTCCTGTTGACCACTCTGAAAACCGAATTGGAGTAGCTACATTTGATGGAAGAGGAATAACAGGCTCTACACAAAAGCATTTTCTGGAGAGAAGGGAGAGAATGTGCCTGAGGGGGACATTTTGCATTACCTGAGGATCTGGTCACACTCTGGTCTGGGATCAGGTGATGAAAACATGYCCCTGTTTTACAGATGTAGGCTGAGTCTGATATCATAAAGACAATCTCTGCTTTTATTCAGATAARTTTGTTTTGGCTGCCAGCAGACTACTCAAGCTTTTCAGCAGTGATTTATATTGATTTTGCAGGTACATATACTAAAGCTGCAGTTAAATGTTCATTGCAAGCAAATCATAATGTTTGTCTGTTAAATTAGTGGAGGTTGAGCTGGTTATAATATCAGAGGGATTTCCTGATGTTGGATTTAATGTTCTGCTTGTTTCAAAACTTAGAGCAACTCTRTCAAGGAGATSGGTGGAAGGTAATAGACTTTCCTTTCAAATTCTCCTGCTCTCATTGTTTTGCTTTTACTGCTGAGATGTGTTTGGGGAGGATTAGGATCACATAAACCCCTGGCAGTGTAGGCGTGCTTATCTGATGTGYGTTCCTAATGATTTGTTGTCATAATTACCTGTGCTGATTCTTCCTGCAGATAGTGGGGTTGGCACAGAAATTACTGGTGTGTCTGACTGCTCTGTGATGTGCATGAATGCAGTCTCTGGCAGTGTGGTGTTGTTTGTTTGGGGGTTTTGTTTGATTTCCTCAAGTCCTACGCTGTTACTTTCCCAGTGCAGGCAGTGATAATTTAGTTGGCTGTGCAACTGGGTAGCCATAATAATCCTGTCAAGGTGCATCTGTTATCATGTTTAATATGTATGTTCTGCTCAGTGCAGCCTCATGGTAGCAGAGAATCTGGCCTGTTTGTCTTGATTGCAGCTTTTTTTTGTTTGTTTGTTTTTCCCAGTCAATCCTCAATGGTCATAAACCACTCAAAGATGAAAAACAGCCCCAGCATCTTGCAACCTCACCTTTAGATGTTTTGATTTTTACAGAAGTGAAATGCTGTGAGCAGCAAGTCCAGAATGTGTAAGGCTGATGTTCTTCCACGCCTATGAGAAGAATATGTCTCAGAGGAGACTTCAGGCTRCAGCTGATAGGAGCTGAGCCTGCTGTCTAAGCAGGGATTGCTGCAGCAGGGRCAGGAAATGAAGGAGAAGATGTGTCTTCAAGGAACAGTTCAGAACCTTCCAAGCTCCTGCTGTCACACCTATCCTAACAGGGCATGATTTGTTTTTCATTGCTGTTGCAATTCAGCAGGGAGTATGGTGTATTCCAGGGCKGAGGGGCTGTTAGATCCATGCACTGTGTTTTTTTTAATCAGCTCCTTTCCTGTACTGTCATACTCATTCCTACCCTGATAACAGAATGCTGGTACGTGGTACAACTWATTTATACAAAGATTTAAGGGTTTTTGTGGTTTTTTTTTTTTGTTTGCTTCAATGTGAATTATTTCATTTTTATGGTTGGTATTGTGTGTTGGAAGGAGACAATGTTGGAAAAACTGTGAGGGACACCGAGTGCATGCAGTTGCTGCTGCCATTAACTGAGCCCTAGTGATGCTGAGCAGTGGAAACTCCATTTGGAAACTCCACTGGTTTTTGCTTTCTTACTTCTAAACATTCTCAGTCCTGCTTGTTGTGTTCTTATCTTATTCCCCGCCCCATCTATTTCGTTCGTGTACATGTTGGGAACAGCTACATTATGCTTAAATTCTATTTACAACTTTTTTTTGTTTGTTCCCCCTATGCTGGTGTCAGACAGGGAGATTGATCTGATTTCTAGCCTGCARTTTATTGGGTCATTTCTTTTGGTTTTGCAGACGTCCAACTTTGTCTCACCCAGAAGAAGCTGTAGTTTTTATCCATATTCCATAACACCTCTGGAATATGCTCTTAAGKTGGATCATGCTCCTCTGGTGGGGAGTTTGGTCAAATTAAAAGGAATTACAATATTGCATAAATTAAAAGCAGAATTTAGATGTGCTGATGGTTTCTGCACAAGGGTAATTCGTTCCTTCTATTGCCTCTTGTGAGGCTCCTGGGTTTTTAGTTTAATGTGCTACATCTTGCTATGGATGTAGGTAATGTTTGCCCCATAGGCCTGAAGGTGTTTCTGCAGTATTTGYACTGCCTCAGGAGCAAAGTTTAGATTTGTGCTGCCACTGTGATCTAAAACAGCTTGAAATTTGTTTTGTGCTGTAATTAAATTGGCATTCGGTTTGGCTGCATTACTCTGGYTGTAGCAGAGCATATCTGTGAACTTAGTTCTGTAATTCCATATTGCCAAATGGCTGCTATTCATGGTACTGCCCAGGAGGATTTAATCCTATTTCAAAGCCAGATTCCTTTAAATAACRGACATGATATCTTTGTACACAAGTATTAAAATTTTGATAAAGGAAAGTGGAATAGTGCACCAGGGAAAGCAATCGTACCTTGCCTGGCTTTGAGCACTCGTAGACTCTGCTCTAAAATTATTCCTTGGGATTATCTTCCCCCAYGAGTCACCAGACTGAAATCTTACTATGCACTTGCATCACTAAAGTGATGTGAAGAGACCTTGAAGAGTAGGGAGGGGATACTAATTTCTGTGTGTTCATGTTGGGGTTTTTTTATGTTTTTGTAGTGTTGGAAGTTTGGGGCAGTTTATGATTAACTAATTTTTCTTTGAATACCAGAAGAAAAGCCAACCTTAGGGGAGATTTTTGGAGGGTTTCTCTGTCCTGTGCCTCCTGCAGGGATGTGCAGGGAGGTTGTGTGCTCAGCTGCTGCCTTAGGGATGGCCAGTTCAGGTGTTTTGGTGAATATAAAGGAGCCTGGGCATGGCATTCCACTTGCTCATTAAAAGAGGCACAAATGCTGTGCTGCCAAACACAGCAGGCGCTTTCTCTTTCCAGTTTCTTACTTCAGTACCTGGTGATTGAAAGCACAGCTGCCCCATACAGATGCAGGACTCTTTCASTGAGAATTTGGAACATTTTGCAGCACCTTTCTTCTGAATCTCTCTAATACCCATTTTTTTCTTATTTCTCCTCTATCATTTTGATTGTCCTTTAGCAGATGTTGGATTGAACATTTCTCAGCAGCCCCCTTGCTGAGTTAGTCTGCTGCTCTTTTTTTTTTCCATGTAGTTATCTTCTATATCTAGAATGAAATCTTCTTTTGTGAAGATTTTTATAAGATCTCTTTGAGAKCTTTTGTTCATGTTTTGTTTGATCATCCTTTGTCTTGCACTTTTGACATACTTCTGYCTGCTGCTTCCTTGTGCACGCTGCATGCTGGCCACTTCCTAGCCTTCCCTCTCAGTCTTTTTATTGTTAGGGAATGAGTTCTTTTCTCTACTTGAGCTCATAATTAACTGGTGGCTTTTTCACCCTTTTTTGGACCTGAAGAAATGTGGTTGAGTGACCAGCTCTAGTCTTTTTTTAAAAATGTGTTGTTTATGTYGTTAATCTAAGTCTACAACCAGAGTGCTACAGTAACACTCATTTTTAGAAAGGAAAATACTCATATTTCAGGGGAAGGACAATAGAATTTCTGAGATCCATGCTTAGTAAAAGACCTGGCCTACTTCTAAAGCCAGTAAAATATCTGAGCAAGATCTTTTATTAGGCCTGTTTCATTCATTTTCTTCTAGGAAAGCGGAGTTAATGTGTTTCTGAAAGTCATTTTTGTACAAGATATATCACAAAAAACCCTTAAAATTAATATCAGCATAGGCTATCTGGAGCTCCATATAAAGGCAGGAAAAAGGGGTGAGATAAACACAGGCACAAGTTATCTCTCTGCATTTTCATTTGATCATCTTTAGCACTGTTTGTGTGGTATGACGAGGACTAATTTGTACCTGGCCGAAGTCTTTTCTACCGATCCTCATCTTTTCTTCTTGGCTGTTCATTACAGTGATGTGTCTATAACCCTGGCCCTGTACAGGCCTTCTGCCCTATTCACCCTTTTTAGGCTTATTGAATGCAATACCTGGCACACCTTTCTGCCTTGTGTTGGATGTCATCCAGCACAAGCCATAAAAACTGCCGAGGTAGCTAAAGCCCGGCCTTTTTGCCTGGTAACAATAACAGCCCTTGCAACATTTCCCTGTCCGATTCTCTTTGCCTTCTTGACTGTCAATCCCAAGAGCTCTGGATGGTGCAGCTGATGGTTTCACCCTTTAATTTGTGCTGCTGGCTTGGAGAAAAGATGTGTGTCAGGTTTTGCATGGAATGAGCTCAGGTATTTGCAAGGTGAGTTTACCTTYTTCCCTAAAAAGCTGGTTCTGGTTTAGTCATCAGCAAAATGTGGAAATGCAGCATATGCTTGTACTGCGAGCTGTAATAATTTTGTCATTTGTTCCCCCTGCCCCTTTTTCTGTCCCTCCCACCAGATAAATGGCTCATTTAAACTGGGAGCTACTGAAATACTCTCTGGCTGGCAAATGCAGTGCCTAGCAGCAGTCATCAAGGACGAACCAAACATGAGTGGTGGAGGGGAACAGGTCGACATTCTCCCGACCAACTACGTGGTCAAAGATCGCTGGAAAGTGGTGAGTAGCTCTGTTTTTTGTGGCACAAACAGAATTCCTCCTTCTCCTGGAGTAGTACAGCATTTCCCTGCTTAATCCTGGCCTCTGGCAAGCAGCAGTGGAGTGGTACAGTTTGACATTTTAGCAAGATACTGCAGAAAGAAGGGTTTTAGACTGGTGTTTTCAGAAGATTAAACCTGCCAAGGAATTTTAGGTAGGATTGAAATGTTGCAGCAGACTGAGTAATGTTTTAGTAGGAAATGTAGCAAATTACTGTGGCAAAGAATACTACAGACATGTCTATAAATAAATTGCATTACAGCAAAATGATGTAAACCCAAATGTTTTGGATTGGAATGTCAGCTACTTCAGGAGTCACAAAGTCCATGATTAACCAGCTGGTTCAACTTCTGTGTAAATTTATTAGGATACTTCTTAAAATGATATCATCATGTGTTAAGAGATTTAGTTTCTCATGGGAAAACTATCTTATCTGTTGTGCAAGCTGGACACACTTTGCTTTTAAAATGCTGAAAAAGTATTTCAATYCCATGTGTGCCATTGTCTCAATTTTTAACTGGGATTACCAGCACTCTCTGAATCATTAAGCTCCCAGCAGAAGCCTCACTAGTCTGAGCTATAAGTGATTTGCAGTAGTAGCACTGAGTTGTTCTTTATGCTGACTGGCCATGGTACTGTGGCCCTGTGAGTTTTGCAGTGGAGTGTGGAGTGCAGMGGACTAAAGAAAATTGGGACTGAATGCACTTGAGTTCCAGGCTGTGGATAGGTTATTTTTCAGACAAAACATCATCCTTTCATTAGATCTGCCTTGTGCCTGTATCTCTTTGTTGACCTGGGCAGTTCAACAGTGCTCTGTTCTTGTTGCTCCCCATTGCCTGTCTCCCTTCACTTTGTCCCAGCTTTCTCCACAGCCTTCACTTTTCTCTCTGGCCTATTGCTGAGCAGCCTATTTATATTTAAGCAATTTAAACCTCTCTTCATTCTCCTTGCTTCTTGAGAGCAGATGGAGAATCTCAGTTTTCTCTGTGATTAGACACTAAAATGGAGACAAGCCCTATGCCCCTCCCAAAGCTTTCTGTCACTGCTGAAGGARAGCTTTGCTGTGCTCCTGCAGCTCTGGGCTGGAGCACATCCACTTGTTCTGGAGGGATGATCCATGTGCAGATTAATTGACATGCAGGATTTGAAACATGCCCTGTGCTTACCAGCRTCTCAGAAAATACTGGTGGCAGCTTTTATCTGTCTCTCCCTGTACAAATGGAGATTTCCCCAGAGCCTAACATTTGGTCAGATTGGTGCATGTTCTTTGCAAAGCTGAATTTCAGTGCTCTCCTGATGCCTTTGCTTCAGGTGCATGATTGGTAAAACTCATTTTTCCCTAACATGAGGAAGAATTTCTTTACATGAGAGTGGCTGAGCACTGGAACAGGCTGCCCAGGGASATCGTGGAGTCCCCCTCTCTGAAGACATTCCAAAYCCTGCTCCTGGTGACYCTGTCTTGGCAGAGGGGTTTRGTTTAGGTGATCTCCAGAGGTCTCTTTCAACCCTTACAATTCTGGGATTATGGGATTCTCTGTTCTCCTTTATCTTGGGTAACTTTAGCTTGTACCATTCCCCGTTCGCTAATCTTGGAGTTACTCCTTCATAGACAGGAGTGCTAAAACTTCTGTAAATGATGGGATTATTTTTGTAACAAAGTCTAAACAAAGTAACKTCGTTCTTGGCAACAGCAGAGCTCTTAAAAGCACCAAAAATTCCAAGTAAAGTCTAAAATATGCTCAGCAATGATCACAGGGGAACATTTAAAACCGATTTTAAAGTTGGTAGAGGCACTAAATGTGGGGTTCAGTGCTTCACTCTTGCATGAATCTGCGACTGGGGTCTGCTGAAAGCTCTGCCCACTAACTCTGCCTTAGAAAAGATAGAAATGTGCAGCTGTATTGTCAACAACAACTACCTCCAACTAGAGGAATAACCTTTTATGTTTGTTAATGTCTCACAGTGGCCTCAAATACTGCAGTGAGGTCATTGCCCCACTTGAAGGCTCTGAGAAATGACATGTCTTGCTGTAAATAGCAATGAGAAATCCTTTTTCCCAGCTCCGAGTTGGGAATTTGACCATGTGCTGGCTCACTTGTGCATTGTGAGCCTTCATTGAAAAGTCCTTCACCCCACCAAAAGAAAAAGTGCAACGTGCAGACCCTTTTTCCTTTTAGGCAGGCCTTCTGTGCCTTCCCTTGCTTTAAGTTGGTGTGGGACCAGTCAGAACCACGAGCTCTGTGGGGCTTGGAGTAATCTGGAAAAAATGAAAATACTTCTGGTGGCCCAAGGAAATGGATAGCACAGGATCAAGGACAGAGGAAGTAGGGACCATACCTTAATGTGAGCTGTAATATCACTGGTAGCATTTCTTTCCTTTATCCCAGACCTTTCTGAACRTGCCAGCTGTATGGTCCAAGCTTTGCTGTGGGTGATGCATCCTGCTCAAGCAGGTGTGAGGCATATTTATGTGGTGCTGGGGTGCAGCTGCCAGAAGGTCTTTTGTGTAATTTGTCCTCCCAGTGTCTCTGACTGTCTCTGGCTGGGCATCTGCATGAACCTTGTAGCTCTTAGTGCTGGCACACTTCCATTATTGAGCCAATGGCTAATTTTAGATTGGTGTAATGTATTCCTTGAATTCCTTTCCTCCTCTCCTCCTTTCTGGTGGCTGACAAAGCTTTGACAAATGAAGATGCTAGTTCTCTGCAGTTAGCCTGGTGGTAGTTCATTTTCCTGTCGCTCCAAGTCAGTAAAGTTTGGCTGTCTGACAGCAGTAATATTTTTGTTCTTATTTATGAAAAAAGGACTTGGACAGGGTGTGTCTATGGTTTTTATCAAAAATTGTGGACTTAGAAGTATTCTTTTGAGTCATCATTCTTTACTTGCAGATATTTTTGATGCTTTGACCAGGTGAAATTTAGACAGTACTGGAACCACGGGACTTTTGCTGAGACCCCGGAGGGTCCTGATCCACACGTGCTCTGAAYGATGTGAACAGTTTTGTTCAGGGGAGGGAACAAAGTCAAACATGACTTGTACTTGCTTTGAACTAGGTGTGGATGTTAAAGCTGAATTGATGTTATCTCTTTATTTCACGTAGATGCCTTTTACTGGGGATTCACAACTGACACTTATTAGCAAGGCAGAGTTGGCAGCTCCTGTGCTGAGCTTTGAACACAAATGATGACTCGTGTATGTTCTTTTCCTAGGTGCAATCCATATTTTGTTTTCTTCCAGCTTTCTGAGCTTCTTGAACTGAAGCTCTCCCGTTTATTTTGGAAACTRTGCTGGAAGCCCCAGAAAACTTTYGTGGATTCTTTACCTTGTCTTGCTCACAAAGGGCATTWATGATTCCAAGAGGGAATATGGGACAAGGAAGGTTCTTTGCCAGATTTGGGACCTGTTTTGATCTTGATCTGAATTGCTTTAAGTCGGCTTTGACAGGTTGTCAGCTGATTTAGAATGTGGCCAATTGAGTTCTTGATTGGCTTTTCAGTTCGTACCTGTTTTACCTGAGTTCATGTCCCTTGAGTCCCTCCAGTCCTCTTCAGCAAGTTGAGTGGACTCTGGAGAGTTTGATGACTATAGGAAAACTCTTCCTCAGCTTTTWAGTCAGGTGAGGCCTCCTGGCCATTTCTGGATCAAGTATCCCATTGAGTTGGGCTGCARGAGTTGTAGGCTTGACTGTACAAGTGCTCCTAAAAGACAGTCACAGTGGTCACTGTTTGACCACTGTCAAATCTTCAAAGCCTGTGAATGACTTGACCTTGGCTGAGTTCACTAAAGATTGCTGGCTTTCCACCTGGTCCTTTGCTCTGGATTTAGAGCACACATTCCTGTTCCTTGACATTGCCACCTATCCTGACCCTGAACCACTCCTGCCTTGCTCCTGGAATGTTATCCTAGGAAGGTGTGGTCTTTATATAATATCCTTGGAAGGCAGACTTTGTTTAGAGCAGCAGTGTCATATATGCTTCTGGAATAAAAGATTAAATTTGTTTTCAAGCCTATTTTTGGCTGGGGTTGTGTGTTGCCTTGGTTTTTTGAACTGTGTTTCTGAAAGCGCTGATTTCTGCTTAGTGAGAAGGCTGCCTGTCGTTGTTGCTGTTGTTGTTTTGGGGTTTTTTTTTAGTAGGCTTTGCAAGATGATGCTAAAAAGAGTCTTTTTCAGGAAAAATCCAAAATATTTCAGAATATTTAAAGGAGGTTTCAAAGGGAGCCAATCTGTGTCCTGTGTAACCCCTGATAGTCTGTGTCCCAGTCCAAACACCTCCCTGTTTGATCAGGTGAACTGTTCACTTGATCCCACAGCCTGGAATAGATGCCTGGAGACACCCAGGGGCTCGTGCAGGTGGGTGGAATGAATCCAGCTGGTGTTGGCAGCCTGTAGTCCAGTCCTAACATCAAGTGGGMTGGTAGAAACAGGACCAGAAGAGAATATCCCCAAGGCAGTCAGCCTTAACACGGGCTGATGACTGTGATTGCCACTTAGGTGGTTTTAGTTAGGTGTTTCCTTCTCTTTCTGACTTTGTGTTTGCAGTTTCATTATTGTTGGTTGGTTTTTTGGKTTTTTTTAAGTGGTGTATGCCCAGTTCTCCTTTTTGTCCAGGAGAAAGCTGTGCTGAGTTCACCTCAGAAAGTGAACTCCCACTGAGCATCCAGGCAATAAGGAGAGGGATGTGTCTTAAGGCCCTGACCTCAGCCAAGAGCTTGAGTTACAACAACTTTCTCTGCAACAAAGGAAAGGAAATGGCTGCTGATGGCCTCTGGATATTGCCAAAAAAAATCCAGAAGAATGGCAGTGCTAGTGGTGATGTTGAATAGATGGTACTGTCTGGTGTGCTGGGAAAAGTGTGCCAGAGAATAATTTCCATAAGAGTATGAGCAAGGGTGCAGGGAAACAAAAGTAGCTTTGACAGCCTTCCATTGGCTGGAATGTGTGTTTAAAGTCAGTTTTCTGATTCAGCAGAAGCTCCAATCTTGATCTTGTGTCATCTCACATTTGTTTCTCTGCAGACTTTTATGTATCCTCCAATTTGGCTGTTTTGCCAGGTGTGCAGTCTCAATATTTTACTTTTTTCCTGAGTCTGCACACATTCCTTTGCTTTTTCTGATGTAGCAGTCCTAGCTTGTCCTTAGTTTTTCCAGACTCCTGATCATGCTTTTACTCCTGAAATGAGCAGCTCCTAATTCAGTGAGAGCCTCTAGAGCAAGGTGTTCAATACTGTGCATTAAACATGACTAGACCTTCCTACAGATCTTATCCTAGGGGTTTTACTGTGCTGTTCCATTTGTACTGTAGTATCTTTGCATTTTGACAGCTGTGTTGAACCCTCAGAGCTGTTCCTGTTGGGGCCAGTGAATGGAAAGGGATCATTATGTGTGTCTGTGCTGGCTCAGCAATATTTCTCCCCAGATCTATTTCTTGAATTAATCTACACAGTGARATATTTGGGTAGCCTGTATTTTTTGTCCATCCCAGCTATGCTGTGTTATATTTTTTACTGTTGACTTTTGCCTGTTGTGTTACATTTTCTGACTGAGAATTTTTTAATCTTCCTCAAAGTCCCTCCAGATCCCARCTAACCTTTTTGCCTTCTGTAGCTTTGACTGTCCCTTTCCCTTTCTCATTAATACATCAGAAGATCTTGTGTACTGCATCCTGAGGTGTTAGCTGACATTTTGTTGCAATGCTGAATGTAGCACTGTTTTGGAAGGAAGATYTTTAATAGCCAGCTCAGTTAATGTGAATTTCCAAGTGGAAGTAGGGCTGCAGTGTAATAATTTATGAATAATCTGTGGTGACCTAGTTATTGGGCTGTTTACTGTGTGAAAATCCCTGTTTAGCCCCATGGAAGGTCATGAGGAAAAATGACAAGAGGTTGCTCTGGACAGCARCTTTCAAAGGGTTATCAAGTAATGKCTTCAGAGACAATAATCAGGTTGTTAATATGGAAAATGCTGCCTTTTTCATGTGGAACTGTTTTTCTTGACCTGGGAGCTGGAAATGCAAATTATTTGGGTCACCTTTGGGAGGAAAAAACCCTGCCCGTGGTAGGCAGGGCCCTTTGTTCAGCAACTGGASAGATGCATAGGACAGGCTTTTGGAGGTGCAGAAGACACTAAAAAATAATCTAAACATTATTAAACATTGTGCAAGATCCATGTTTGACTAGCTGTCTGACCAAAACTTTTCCTCTGTAAGTGTTATTGCTGCTGTTGGAAGGAAGAGACACTCAGGACTTCCAGACCAGTTGTTAAAAGAGTGAACACAAAATGCTGAAGGGAAGGGCTGCACTGGGCTCAATGGACAAGTCCTAAGCAGCTCAAGATTATTTCTGCTGTAATCCTGAATTTCCTCCTGGGCAGCACAGAAGGCTTTAAATATATCTAAGAGAAACAAATATAAAAAGATTTTCCTGGCGTAGACACCAACACTTGCAACACACGAGGAGTCTGCATTGTATGTGGTTATATATAACTGTATGTACATCTGCTGTCAAGTCTCAGCAGAAGGAGGATCAAGGAATCACCTTCTAGGAAAGGCAGAGGATCCTGAGCTGCTCCCTGAATGGGATGCTGCTCTAGAACAGGCAGACAATCCATCTCTAGTAGGTACATATCAAACATGCTGAAACTTGGGTATCTTTAGCTTTGAGTTTGTCAAGTGAAGTGGTGGGTCCTATTGTGAAATAGTCTTTCATTTTGCTTAGAGACACAAAAAGCATAACTTGATTGGGTTTCAAACTGTAAAGTGAGAATGGGAAAGAATGAAGCTGTGCTGGTGGCTTGTACACAACTGTTTTGASGTGATGCAGTTGGCAGTTCTCTGAAATGTGACACCAAAGTAACCTCACTGCCAGAGCTGGTAAAGCATCTTGTAAAAGATTCCRGTGGATGTTTTGTTCTGTGTTTAACATCCTTTGAATGAGATGAAAATTTCATTTAATTTATTTCTTGAAAGCCTTAGTTCCAACTATCATGGTTATGTTTTACTGCAGAGATGTATTTGTTAGGAGGGAATGACACTTTGCATCTACCGTGGTCTGGGCAGTGGTTCTGTTCTCTCCTTGAAGGGTCTTTCCCTGAATTTTGGCAAGAACATCATGGAGGCAATAGGCCATTATCATTTGCTTTTAAAAGTATCACCTGTCACTGCTTGCTAGGCTTGTTCTTTGTTGTCACAGCAAAGAATTTATACATAGCACGGTCAAGTGGGTGGCTGGACTTTTGCCAGGCTGTGCAGGGAAGGGATTCAGGCACTGCACAGATTGGGAGCTGAGCTTCTTCTCCCTACGCARTCGAGGAGCTGGCTTTGTGGGAGCCAGCTTGGTGTACATTGTACCAAACCTCTCTGTACTTTTGCAGCTGAAGAAGATCGGTGGAGGTGGCTTTGGGGAGATCTACGAGGCCATGGATTTGCTGACCCGTGAGAATGTGGCCTTGAAGGTTGAATCAGCCCAGCAGCCCAAGCAAGTCCTCAAGATGGAAGTGGCCGTCCTGAAAAAGCTGCAAGGTAAGGCAGAAAGCCCTYTGGATGTGCTACAAGTCTCTGTGCACGTTAACAATTGGAATCCAAAGTTGCAAATAAATAGTTTTAATAATTTTCTCTTTGGTTTCCATCTATATGTGCTGTCACATTAAGTCATTCAGCTCAGAAAGTTGTTAAATTCTGCAACTCATGTGAGTTCCAGCAACAAGGTATAAGGATAATGAGGAGACTTACACTGAGCTGGTACACTGATCTATCCAATCTAGTGATACTGATTAGAAAATAAGGAAWAGAGGAGGCAGCATCTGACTAAGAAATGAGGTTGCCTCCCAGAGGACCTGTAAGCATGACAGAGTAAAAGGGTTGACTACTAGAGGAGTGCAAAAAGTGGGTAACAGGAAGTATAGGGAAACTGACTGTTAGCTAATTTTTTATCTACCTCGCTGTCCTGAAAGCAAAATGTGATGTGCCTAAATGAAGGGTGCAAGGGAGCTTGCAGTTATTCCTGCCTGATGGAGGGGGGATTCTACTAAAAGGATGCTATGGGGGGCTGTAAACAAGGAGTTTCCAAATGTGCCTTTGAGGAGCTGAGAACTGCTGGTTGCTGAAGGGCATCGTGCATGGATTTCCTTGCTGTTGCCAGGTGCAGTTTATGTGTTACAGTAAAATATGCATCTGAGGGGATTTCCTTTTGCAGGATTCCCACAGGGGCTGAGCAAACACCTTCTGCTGAAGCAGTGGGTAGGATCCCTGTCASCAGGGCTCATGCTACAGAGATAGCATTGTGGCCCTATGTTTGTGTCTTTGTGCAAAATCTCCAGAGAAATTATTGAATTTCAGGGYGAGACTGTTGCAGGCCTTGTGAAACAAGTTATTCAATGTTTGTGACAGATCCCCTCTAGGTAAAAGGCAGTGAATTATTTTTGAAGGTCAAATCGTTTTTCACATTTCAGCTCTCCCAAGAGGAGGGCTGATAAGGCCTTTCTTGAATACTCTGGGTTGTAATATATGCAGCTGAGCTGTGTAAAGGAGAAATCAGCACAGGTYATTACCAGGAATCCTGTTGATCTGTAAGAGGCCTGGAGAACAGCAGAGCGGGTGTCTGAGGTCTGAAAACACTGCAATGAGGCTGTGATTGAGATTTTCTGATTTGRTTGTATGCTTGAAACTGCTCAGAATTGAGTGAGGGTATGACTGTGTAGAACAATGGATTTTAGATCCAATGCTGTCATGCCAGCCAGTACCAACAGGTGCTGCACCCAGGGTAGGAAATGCTTGAAAAGCATGATCTGAAATCACCAAAGCAGGACTAACATCAGAAAATGTGCAAGGTGTCGACTAATGCATGTGTTTATTTCTGGAAGATTGTGGAGAATACCAAGTGCTTGAAGAAACACCCACATTTGTGCACAGCATGATGCTGGTAACAGGGGAGAGGGAGTGGTGGTGTGTGGAGCTAGGAAAAGCCCCTTGGCAAAGCAGTTTGTAAATACTCAGGGAAGGGACAGAAAAGACAGAAGAAGCAGAATTGGCTGTGCATCAGCTATTCTRCACATAAGAATGACACATTACTTCAGCCATGTTTTTACAAATCAAGCTGTTCTGTTGAGGAATTCAGCTTTTTTTGGTTGAAGGTTAATCCCCAAATGCTTTACTGAAATAAATGATAAAGTTAAAATAAGAAATTGGGTTGAGAGCATGGGGAATCGTACATTGTGTATGTTTTCACTGTGAGTGTTGCAAAGAGGTGAGAAACATTTCARAAAGGGAGATGCTGCTTTTTCCAACAGTTGGTGGGTGGAGTAAGTTGCTGGTATTACCAACCAGGTGATGCAGTCAGTTCATGGGTTTCCAGAAGAAAAGCAAGGGAAGGGTGATCTCTAAAATTCCTCTGTACTTCCCTGCTAAAATTGAGTACCGCAGTCCCTCATAAATAGTGCAGCCTTATTGTTTTCTATTTAGGTGTCACACCTTAGAGAACTTAAACCTTAAAGGACTAATGAGCTGCTGCTCTTTTCAGAGCTTGAGATCAGAGTCTTACAAGTTGCTGTGGTTTGGCAGAGTTTGGGGTATGGAAGGTTGGCTATTGGCCCTACTGCAGATCTCAGGACCTGGTTTGGGTACAGCCTGACCTGTGGGTGCAGTGGCTCCTGGTTGGTGTGGACTGCAGTTAGGCTTTTGGGATGGTTTGTGGGGGACACAGCTGCAGGTGGGTCCCTCACAGTGTCCCTCCTGCACTAGCAATCCACACAGAACAGCTGGGGAGCCACAGGTRATGATTCTGCTAGAGAATCTCTGTATCCTCTGCTAATGAATATTATCAGAGTCGTTTTCTGCTGTGAGGGTGGTCACATGCTGGAGCACCCAGAGAGATSCTTCTCTGTCCTTGGATGTGCTGAMAACCCAGCTGGATGTGACCCTGGACAACACCCTCTAGCTGTCTCTGCTTGAACAAGGGTGAGCACTAGATAATCTCAACAAGTCCCTTCCAACAACGATGGTTCTGAGATGCTCGAGCTTGGCTGTGTGAGATCACTGCAAAGTGCAGTATCTCTCACCTGCTCTGTAGAGTTGTTTTGTTCTGCTCATACTTGATCTGATTTTTCTGGCTGTCCAATGCTTTCTCTGTATCTGTTTAGATATTGTTTCCCAAAGGCAAAGTTCTTTCTCATTTGCATTGTCACTTGCAAGGATCATAAACCATTTTCTGACCAAACTTCTAAATCTGTTCACTGTCTTTGGTCTGTGAAACACCAGCAATAAAGGTGCCCYTTTATGCTCCGGGTGAAGCACAGTTGAGAAATCAGCTTGCAGGGTTTCTTGCTCAAGCAGGTGAYGAGCTGAAGCTCTCAGTTGTCCTGTTTTTGCACCTTTATCCAACAAGTTTTTAGCAACATTTTTGTCCTTTTCTTGCCTTCCATGAACTGTGTTAGGCAAAATCAAAACCTTTGATCAACCCACCAAGTTGCTATAGWGTGTTTCTTTGTTCAGGCTGGGCTTGCAGGGCTCAGGACATTCTGCSTGCTGCCATTCTATCTGGGAATTTSTTTAATCAGAGCACCACAAGATAGCTTTTTGTTTTAATCCTTATGAAGCTCTGTTTGGCTTACATTGTCTTGTTACTCCTAGAGAAGCTGGTAGAGAATTACACTGCTAGRGTTGAAAATATTACCAATAATAAATTCAGAAACTGCTTCAGGGATAGTTTGGGCACATCTGCCCAGTGAACTTGTGCTCTGTCAGAATATTATTTTAGTGCCAAGCCCTCATTTTATTGCTTTAGTCACTTCTGTAAAACTATCTTTAAGTGAGGTGTGTGTGATTGTACCATTTGCACACAATTTTAACCTGTTGGGATTTTCTGCTTTGCAGTCAAGCATTTTGAAACCAAGCCTGAGCTGCACTGACAAAACAYTTCCTGCAGATTATCTCCAGCAGAGAAGGTTGCTGGTTGAGTTGTATCTGCCAGTGTTTTGCTGTGCAGACAAAGCCTATCATCATGTGCATTAAAAAGTAAATGGATTTTTTAATCTGCYCTCCTGTCTGAGGATCCATTTGTTGGTTTGTACTCTCCTGTAGGATTTGGAGACCACTACATGGTGTGCTGCTGAAATGGATCTTCGTGGTCTGTTTGCTCAGAAAACTCTTCATGACTCAAAGCCAATCCTRGAACACTGACTCGTGGTAGTTGTGATGACTTAGGCAGTATAGGAGACTTCTTTAAAACCTCATTGCTTTTATAAACCAGGACTTGAGGCTTCTGTTTATTTGAATCATGAGGAGAAAAAATGGGATGGTTTCCTATCACTGAACACGGGAAGGAAGAGTACCATCACAGCTGGATGAGCAGATGCTTTTCCATCTCTTCAATGCTTTTCTAACCCTTTGAAATACAAATGGACAGCAACCTGCCTGCTCTGTCTCTGATTTTTTCCCAACCCTGGGTTTCTTGTTGGGCAATATTCAGGTGGCAGCTCTGGATTCAGTTTCCCATCTATGAGATCTTTGAGGTTAATCAAAATGCCACGACTCTGTGAGAACAGCTGTGGCATACCTTTGGATGTTACTGGCTTGGGCTGTCTCTGTCACTCTGCCTTTCTAACAGCAACCTTTATTGCAGAAATTGTAAACTGGTATCCCTGATTAAATCCAGTGGGCTACTGCAGAGAGGGGTGTGGAGACTGTGTTAGATGCCAAACCAGGAATTGTGTTCTCTTTGAATGCTCAGCTGGGGCTGTGTGAGGCTCAGAAGCAGATGCTTTGAATTCCAAAGTATTCTCCCTGTCCTTACCCACTTCTTGATGGGTCTCTCTGGGAGCACCCTGGTGACTTGTGAGACCAGGGCACTGCAAAAGGATCTCTCACAAGTCCCTTGTGTGCCTCTGGTCCCTAGGCTCTCTAAAACATGGATATGGCCCCAGCATTCAGTTTCCTATGCTGGCATTCTCTTTGGAGCAGCCTGGCAGAGTGGAATTTAAAATGCCCAAATTATTCTGGTGCTAAGCACTGTTCTCTGTTCATCTGCAGTGGCAATGTTGCCCTGGTGTGAGGCTGCAAGGCCCTAAGCATTTGCTTTTGATCCCACTCGGCTGCCAGATATCGCTAAGCTCCCTTCAGAGTGTTGTTTTCTTTGTAAATGCCTTCTTTTCAGTGTAACCAGTTTCATTGTGTAGGACTCTGATTAATTTTATTCTGCAGTGCAGAGATCTTCTGCATATTGAGTAGTTGTGCAAGATGCAGCCTGGTCACAGGCAATGTAGTTTTTGAGTACCTGATTTTGTTACAGCAGATACTAAAGCCAGTCTGTGCTGCTCATTCCCTCTTTATTGCCAGGGTTTGGACAGATAAGAGTATCCTAGCAAAAAAAAAAAAAAAATGGAAGAAAAAAGACCTTACTTTTCTTATTTGACAGTCCTGGGTTGTTTTTTTTTTCTTATTGCATATGAGAGTTTTTTGTGTTAAAGTGGTGCCTTAACTCACTGATTCAGTTTCTGTTACTTTTGTAGACATAGTTTATACATTTCCACAATATTTCTCTRGGCTGATGTACCCAAGCTATCTGCAAAGACCAGAAAGCAGAGTCAATTACCCTTGGCAGGCTTTTAGGCTATCACAGGGTGGCAGATTCACAGACTTGCTGTAACTTGAGCCTCTCTACCCAGCACTGCATTTTTCCATGTTGGAAGGGTGTTTGAATGAACTGGTTTTGGGCCACGTGTTTTCTGTGCTATGGTGCTGTTGGGTGGGGGAAGGCCATGGGTTGCCTGAAAAAGGATTTAAACCACACTTTTTTGAGGCTGTGTTGAATTCTTGCTCCAGCACTGTTGTTCCTTGACCTGTATGGGATCTGTTACCAGTTACTCATCTTTAAGTTGTTAGTCTTGGGAAACAGCTAAAGGAAATTATGCTGTGCAAGGTCAGGCAGTTTTAACATTTGCTGTTTGAYATGGAGACAATGACCAGCCTTTTGGGGTTTGTGTCCATTAGTTCATTGATTTATTACAGAAGCACTAGCAAGCTTAACCCAGTTGCTTAAATCCTAACTGATTACCCTTGAGTAATGTAGTTATTTAATCCTTRCTTCCAGCACAGAATTTGTTTTCTTTCATGTTCAAAACTCCTTTGTCCAGCTGAGTTGACAAGTCCCTGAAGTCAGCTCTGGCCAGAGATGAAATTTTGTAACTGCAGAGGAAAGAAGTCTGTGAGAGCCAGCTCTGCTAAGCTAAAGGTAGCATTTCCAAGTAAAGCTATAGGAGGATGAAAATAAYTCTCATTTCGTTTTCTAGTCCTGATGAATTTTCCATTTCTTTACAATATTTGTACAGAAGTGAATTCAATATCCCCACAATACAAAATCTGTGATAAGCTAATAAACCTGACACTGGCAGGCAAATAAAGAAGACGATAAAATTTATATTATAATGCAGAGCATTGAGAAACAACTGCAGCTTCCCAAAAACCAGTGAGAGCAATTGTACARCTCCATGTCTGCAGCTGAGCATATCGTGGAGACCCATGGGCTGCAATGAGAGCAGTTTATTAATTAAAATAAGAACAGTAATAGTGAAAAGGAAGATAACAAAAAGAAAGAGGGGAATAAAACCCAAGAAAAACAAGCGATGCTCCACCTCTGAGCAGTGCCCAGCACATTCCCAAGTGATCTGTGGCTCCTGGTCAACTTACCCCAGTTTTTATACAGAACATGATATTCCAGGGTATACAGTATCCCTTTGGCCTGTTCAGGTCAGCYGTTCCTGCTGTGCTCCTGCAAGGCCCCAAAAAACTCCGTGAGGCTTTTAAGAGGGCTTGTGGTTGTTCATGCTCTCTGAGTTAGGMRCACAGGAGAAATATYGACARGATRTTCTCMAGAAGTCAAAACAACAAAATGGACTTCACTGGCAGCTTTGGAAAATCAGAGAACTTTGGTAAGAGGCATAGAGCAGCCTTCAGTCAACATAAAACCCTTCTCATAGCACTGACTTAGCCTATTCAGCTTCACAAACTCTAAGGCTCTTYRATTTTAAGTTATTCAAAAATTCAAASAAGTTTTTTCCTTCRATTTTAAGTTATTMAAAAATTCCAAGAAGAGGGAATTAGAAGAAGAAGAAAAAGAAAGGAAAGATACAGAAAAGGACATCTATAGCTATTAACACTTGGATTCCAACAATGTTCAGATGATGGAAACTCCAAGAAGAGGTGGGGTCAAGAAAAGTCAGRCTCMATCTTYTTGGCACTCTTGTGTTAGATKATCCTGACCAGCAGATTGTTTCCCTTCTGCTGCCTTCCTAAAGGGTGGGCAAACTCAGTTCTCTGACACTTTTTGTTGATATCACATTCTCCTTTCTCTGGTGGGCACTGCTGAACCCGTGATGTTGTATCAATTGTTGGTCTTGTGCAGRAGAAAATGCAAGAATTGGTAAGGTTACAGCAATTAGAGTCACAATTGCTGTGAGATTTATGGTAATTCATGCAGCAGAAGTTACTTCAGTGTTTTGGGGGAACTGATAGGAGTGAGACTCCTATCATCTGTGGAGATGAATCACAGAATTTCAGCATAAAATTAAAAGATTAAATTTTTTAACTTCTTTGTGTAGAAGAGTGGTTACTGGTTTTCTGCAGGTGAAAACACAGGGAATACAGAACCTTACAAAAAAACAACTTCAAATTGCAACAATAATGTCACGTATTTCCTTCTTAGTGTTTATTCGATTAGTTTCATTGCTGCATTGAAAATACATTAGGAATATTTAAGAAYTTAAATGAGTAGAAGATTGGAATGAATATTGGTGTCCACCAGTTTGAAATTGATCCATGTGAAAAAATAGACTCAAAAAAGGATCATAATTTAGGTTCTTTCAGGGGCTGTGCAATGAAAGCTTTTCATGTAATGAAAGATTTGAAGTATTCAAATGGGGACTTTAATCATATCTCTACAAGGTGATGAATATCTCTCCAAGGGTGGAAGRGGATTTTATGCATGAGAACATAATTATTGACTCTAATTTTTAAGTTTCTTCAGAACAAGGATGGTGAAGACCATTTCAGTGACTGAAATATTTCTTACCCCATCTATATGGGAGATTATGTTCATTGTAATTAAAAGACAGCAATAGAAAGAATATTTTTCTGTGGCTGAACATTACAATTTTGCCTTAATTTAAATGCTTGTGAACAAAATAAAACACTCTGAAACTTTCCTCAASTCAGTGCTTATGAACATCAGGCTGATGTATTCCTCCTTGGTTTATTATCAGGCCAAACCCCTTTAGAATATATTKCTCTGCTCTTTGGGTTCTTTTTCTTTAGGAAAAAAAAAATACAGATCCAGAGCATATTTTTTACAGTGTAACTTGTGATCCACTGGAACATCTGGGTGGCTGCTGAGCAAACCAGTCTAGCAAAGGAGCAAGATTCATGTGGCAGGCAGTGTAATAAAATGGTTGTGAGGCTTCCCATACGAAATATATCTTGGGAAAAAAACCAAAAAAACAAGAAAACATTTTCCCCCCTCTTCCTCCCCTTCTTTCTTTCTGGTTTAAAATACACTTTGCTGCACTCTGTGTTACGATCTCCATGCCTGAGGAGGGCATGTATGAGAAGACAGGGCAATTTTTTGTTGCCTTAAAGGGAAGTGTGACAGTTCCATCATCCTGTCTGCACAGGAGGTGATTAACACGGTTGTTCTTGTGTGTCTCATAATTGTGATCAGCCTCAGGACTGAGCTGCAGGAATCCCAAAGTCACACCTGACTGTCAGCCTCCATCTGCTRCTCCAGCATGGCATGAACTGTTCCAAGAGAGCAAACAGTTGTCATCTGGTGCCTCCTTTAGATGACAAATGAGTAAAAGCCTCCTGGACCCAAAGCTGTTCCAGGGACAGCTTAAATTCCCAAAACCAACAGGTTGGGTCCAAGCCCATTTTAGGCTGGAAAAGAGGATCCAATATAAAATCAAATCAGTTTGGGGATACAGATCATTGAGAACTGTCAGTCAATTCATCACCTTCAGAGCAGAAACATGTTGTCATCCTAAACAGGCAAACAATTCTCAAAAATAATAAATTAAGAATGCAAATGTTTTTTCTTTCTCYGAAATTTTGTGATCCAGAAAACAATAGTGTTAGGGTGGAAACTGCTTAAAAAAATAAAAGTCTCAGAAATACACTCAAAATCACAAGAGGCAGTAGGAAAATAGCAAGGATGTGTCTTAAGTCATATCATTGGGTAYTACCCCATCTGTTTCATTGAAATTTGTGATTTAGGTGGGCAGGTTTTCCCTGTCAGAGCATTGGTTTTCAATGTTCCTGTCTGTAGTTTTGCTGCAACAAAAAGCACATGGTGTCCGTGCTTTGCAATTATTTAAAACAGGAAAAGCAAGTACAAAAAATGAGTAATTTACCCTTTTTATCACACAATGGCTCTCATTGTCACTAGAAGCAGTCACTGGTTTTGGGCTTTTGCCTCAATATCCATCCCCTGGTGCTCTGAAAGGCAAACAGAGCAAAGTGGGAACCAAGCGTTCACCACTGTGGTGTGCATCAGCCTTTACTCTGCCACCAGCATTCAGCTGCTAAGGGAATTCAAACCTCATCCTTCCCCTTCTGAGAATCCAGACAGCAAACCACCACAAATCCATCACAGGTCTGAAACCACAGCCTCTACTCCCTCCCTGAGGAACACCTGAGTTTTGTGGGGTGGCTGAGCTGGTTTGATTTTGCCTCAATAGGTGTAGTTTGTACTTCTAACATCAGCCAGAACTTGGCACAGAATGMCCCCTGTTTATTTCCTTCTGTTGTTATGAAAACGCTTTAATGTTTCAATGGAGTATTTCCATCCACATCTTTCTTTTACAGATGTCTCTGACTGTTGAAATCAGGGTTTGTTCACATCCAGGCAGCATTAAATGAGCTGTGGTGGTGATGTGTACGAGTCAGCTCGTACTGAGTAAAGTTGGTGTAATGAGCTGAGCTCAATTTGTTCTGCAAAACTCTTTACCTGATATAACTTTGTGGTTACCAGCCCCGAGTCAGAAACCATTTTTCTAAAAATCATGATCACAAGGCTGTTATCTTATGTTCTATTCTGTTCATTTYTGTCTCTTTTCAGGGAAGGATCATGTTTGCAGGTTTATTGGCTGTGGAAGAAATGAAAAGTTTAATTACGTGGTCATGCAGCTTCAGGTGAGTTCTTTTCTTTCCCTTCTGTCCCACAGCAATGGCATCACTGAGGATTTACACTCAGGGAATAAGGCCAAGCACTGGTGTGAGGATTTGTTGTACACAGGAAGAGGATGGAATGGAACACAGTGAGAAGGGGTGGTGTTGCTCTGCTATCCCTGGGGATGGCTCCAGTCCTCAAGATGTGCTAAAACATTTCATAGCTCTGCCTTTCTGTCGATTTTCTGGGGAAACCACTCTGTTCTGAATGCTCACAGGAGCAACACACAGCAAGCTCTTTGAAATACCTCCTGCTGGGCTGTGCTGCGACATCCAAAATATGTCTGGTGTCAGAGCTCACAGTGGTGTCACAGCAGCAGTGCAGTTTCTCTGTGAAAGGCAGTGCTCTCTGGCTCCCCCGTCTCTCCCCAGCTCAGCAGGAAYTCAGCTGCTGCTGTGCAAGTGTTTACTCCTGCTTCAGCACTGCTGATACCAAGTCAATAAGGGTAAATAATTGTGTAGCTGCCATATGGYCAGTGCACTGCTGGACAGCAGATGAAGTGAAACAGGCACCAGCAGATCCCAGTACTTCATTAAAATAAACTTCTGCTTCTTTTGTGGCTGTGCTTTGCAAGACAGTTGTGTAAAACAAGTAAACTCCTGGTGCTTGGGCTTGCTTTTGATGTACCACTGGCATCCCAACTGCTGTTATGGATAGAAAAAGTCCTTTTGCTCTCTAAACAACCCTGGCTACTATTACTGATTCATTTTCACTTTAATGAATTGTGAAAGGGCAAGTCTGGAGCTCATGGAAGAACAAAGCTCCTAACCTGCCAATGCTGTCCTTACCAAGCCTGATGAAAGGGACTTTACCTTGGAAAAAAAAATTCTCTGCATAGATTTTTTTACTTTCTAGTTTGTTCTTGACTATGTAACTGAGCTCACAGAGTAGGCAGAGATAAAAATAATTTTATTATTTGCAGATGAAGACGTTGATACAAAAAGCATTAGCTAGTTTTGCACCATCACTCTTCAGGCTAAAATTCTCCTTGAACTTCAAGACCTGCTGAGCCATGGTTTCTCATGTGTCCCTCTGATTTGGTTTGTCTCGTGTCCCTGTGACTGTCATCTCTGCAGTTCTCCCTTTCTCTTCAGTCATTGGGGCTGAAGTTTCCACTCCAAGCTTTGCAACTCATTGCATCTGCTCTGCTGCTGCCTGATGGCGTTTATTTGGAAAATAATGCTCATTTTCTGTCTTTTCCTGGTAGCAGTAGCAGCTGGGGAAACTTATGGCACTTTTCAGTGTGCAGGCCTGAAAAAAAATGAGCCTTTCTTTTCCTGTTACTGCTGGATAAGAGAGCTGGTGTTCAGGGAACAGCTTAGCAGTGGAAAGCAAGATYTGCTGTCAATTCAGTAGCTTGGATGTTTCAGGATAGCGATGACAAAGCTGTGCTGCCTCTAGTAAAGTGTCACAGAAATTCAAGGAGATAAGCACCAGGGAAGAGGTTTAGTTTGATTTTGTTCATGTTAAGCAGCAAACCTGGGCAGGCTGCTGTGGTTTGGCTGTATCTGTGAGCTGGCCTGTATCAGATGTGGATTCTTCAAGGGTCCAGACCCTRAAATGAAACATGGGTCAAAACAATTTGAGAGACTTGTGATGTGCTACATGAGCCAGTTGGCACCTTAATGTCTGTAAATAACTTGAGAACTGGAAATGGGTGGATGAAAAGGTGGCATGTCACTGCTTGGGAGAGCAATCTGTGTTTTCTCCTCAGCTGTTTGGAACCTTTTATTTATTTTCTGTTGGGAATTTTGTTTGAATTCAYGTGGAGTTCCACCATAAGCTTATGCCTTCTGTAGATGTCTTTACAGAAGCAGAATTGAGAGATTCTAAAGCACAGCAATAAACAGCGTGTCCCTGCAGCTTTTGTTCTTGGTGCATGTTCTCTGAAGCAGCAGGCTCTTATTGCTAATGTTTTAAATGACTTGGTAAATGAATTATTTTGTGGATTAGAAGAGCATTCTGCCATGGAATRCAATCATTTTAGTAACTTCTCTTTACAAAGCTAAAGAGGTGTAGGCAAAACTGAGATGACAGACATCAAAGAGCACTGGGATTTTTACTGCATTTACTCTGTCCTTTTTTGCTTTTTCTTTCCTAAATTGTGTTTGTTTTCATGCATAGCTGGTAGCCTTTTTKGTTTTCCTCAGAAATTTAATTAACTGGAGGTAAATTAACAATTTGTTTTGATAAGTATTAAGTCAGTGGAAAAATTCTCCTCTCCTGATTTTGGGTATGAGTCTCTTGATAGACAACTTACCCCAATGTGGTGCTTCCACAACAATGCTGGCTTGAGCTTGAACCAGACAATGTGTGCTAGGAAGTTTCTGATGAAAATGCAGCATCATGACCTGCTTATGGAACTTGTGCTGCTTTAATCTTTAGCTGGCTCAGAGAACAGTCCGAGGTTGTTCTTAAATCAGCTTCTGTATGGTCTGGGTTTAATAAGGAGATGCTGGTCTTACACTCAGGCACTGCTGTCCATGCTGTGCCTGCTGCACAAATAGTGACCAGCTGACTTCCCCAGATAATGATTTGGCATCTTCTTATCACTTAAAAAAAGCAAAAATGAAGTACTGGAAGAACTTATGCAAGAAATAAAGCAAACATGAGGTGAGCACCCTTCTGAGTAGCGTGTCTGCTTTTTTGGTGGGGCATGTTAGAGCTCACAGCTGTGGAAGGCTCTGCTTTGGTGTGATGGTTGAAGTGTTTTATTGACTGTTTCAGGGCCGAAATCTTGCAGATCTCAGAAGGAGTCAGCCTCGAGGGACTTTCACGCTGAGCACAACGCTGCGACTGGGCAAACAGATTCTGGAGTCAATAGAAGCCATTCACTCTGTGGGATTCCTGCACCGTGACATCAAGCCTGTATGTCCTTTTGGAAATTTTCCTTTTGGCTGTGTTTCTCTCAGCTCTGCTTGAGTCCATAAAGACAGTTTGAGTATGGAGAGATCCCAGCAGACATATTTAAGCCTCCTTGCACACTCCCACTGACATGTTGGCTGTTTTCTATAGGTACAGAACAGTAAGATAGTATTGTCCTTTTCATAAGTGCATAGCAAACCAGCTTTTATTGGCATTACCACTCCAAGGTGGGCTGGTAGCTGTCAGTCACACGTGCACCAGTCAAGATCCCATGATRAAGCAATCTAGTTGTGAATGGTCCTTTGGAGTCCAGCCAATCATCACTGTAAAAGTTGTTCAGAAAGGMAGTCCTGTTCTGTGACACATCACTTGAATTAATGCTATTTCATGTATTTGGCTGAGCTAAATCATCCTCTTAATCCTGTACGAGTGATTGCCAAAAGAATTGGAGCACAGTTTGCTGTCAGGAACTCAGTCACATTGTTGGTCACCTGCCTAGGCAAAGCACAGTAATTCCAATCTATTTGCAGAAGCCAGTCTTTTTCCTACAACTCTTCACTGCTTGACCTGAACTTGTTGAAATTCAACTGAGCTTGTTGCAATCCCATACCWGAGACCAACTTCCTTGTAATGCTCATTTGCTCCTTTTAACATCAGGGGCTTTTGGCTCACCAGATTCASCTGAAAACTGATGTGATTGGCTACAAATCCTTTAGCAACCATCCATTATGGTAAAGGACAGAACTTTTAGATTGAGGTTAGAAAAAGGAGCTGCTCCATTTGCTTGTGATTGGTTTATTTACCAAGAACCAAACCTGGTGGTTTCTATATGTCTGAATGTTCAGATAGATTTAGGCAGTGCAATACAGTAAATGGAGATTCTGGGAGTTGGGGCAGAATAATTCATGCCAGCAGCTGAACCACGAACAGAAGCATTTGTCTGCACTAACTCCAGCCTGTTATGCAAGTGATAGAGCTCACAGCAGAGCTGGTGGTGTTAAATGTAGCTCTTTCTCAGAGCAGCTGAAATATAGCTAAGCTAATGTGAATTCGAGTAATTTTGAGACTCCACAGTCTCTTATCTGCAAAGTGAACTTCTTACCAAGACAGTGGTTCTCTAATCATAGTATTTAAGGTGCATCTTAAAATTAATCACTTYGATTTGTTTCCACCAGAGGCACATGGAGCTACACGACGAAGTTTTGCTAACAAGGGGCCACTCTTACCCAAGCTGCTGGCATCAATTTGACTTTTTTTCTTTCCTTCTTTGTCCAGTCCAACTTTGCCATGGGCCGCTTACCTTCAACGTACAGGAAGTGCTACATGTTAGACTTTGGTCTGGCCCGCCAGTACACCAACACTACTGGGGAAGTCCGACCAGTAAGTACATTTCAAGGAGGTTTTTTTCCATTTCTGCAGCTKAGTAGGAATGGAAAGGTTTGGTGGTTCTGTTTGTTTTGTTCTTGTTATGCACTGTCATTATATTGGACTGCATTTTCTGTAAGGTGAGAAGCAGCAGGTGACTTCAGCTGAGCTGGGGATCTGAAAAGGGCTGCTTGCTTTTGTTTTACAAGATGAGTGGCTTTTTAATTTTTCTTTTATTTCCTTTAGGATAATCGTGTTTTCCACAGGTTTGCAATACTTACTGAGTACAATATGGACTAACAAAGAGGGTGAGCCCAGTGCTGGCCATGTAACTTYTGTAGCCTTAGGGGACTGGTCTAGTTCAGTTCTCTGTGGTCTGGGGAAATAGGTTGGTGTATTCTTAAAGCTTCTTCAAAAAAAAAATGTTCTACAAGTTAGAGGCTGACCTGATCTCTGAGGCTGAGCTTACTGTGAGCTGCAGCCTGTAATGCTGTTCTCACCTTTCCTGGCTTTGGTTTGATGTCTGTTGCCCCTGTGCAGATTTCCKAGCAGGGATATTTCAGTGTGCCTGCCTTGAGGGGAGGTAAGGGCMGGGGGTTTAACTTGTGCCCTTAACTTGTGTAATAGAAGTTTTATCTTCAGTTCTTTTACCAGCACTGTGTTATCTGGGGTCATGAGGATGTGTAGAGTTTCAGATGTTTAAGGATCTGTCAGAGAATTCCTASATTTATTTCAGAGCACAGTGCAAGCTGAGAGTGCTCATGCAATCTCTGTTTGTGATCCTGGGCTTACAGCTTTTGGTCTGCACACCTTTTCCATCTGCAAGATAATTGTTGTTCTGGAAAATGTTGATAATGTGCTACCTAATACAGAGACTCTGTAGTGCTGGGTATGATTGGAACATGGGAAGGAATCAAAGGCCATGAACAGATTTTTTTGTCTTTAGTAAATGAATAAAGCTGCAGAATTTTTCTTCTTTTTTTTTTTTTCTTCTTTTGTTTTTTCTTCTTTTAAAAGTCTTTTCAGTTTGCTTTTTCCAGAGGTTGTGCTTGCATCTTATTCCTAGAAAGACACACAATTATGTACTACTGGATTTCCTTGTCGATGCTTTTTAGTTTGGGGATAACCCTTCTTCATATTGCCCTTTACAAAATGTTCCTSWTYYTTTCCTGTTTCTGCAGTCAGAATYCAAGTCYATTATGGAWTGAAATTGTCATTTGGATTTCTGCAAAATGTCTTCATTTCTTAAGTGGTTATAGTTTMTGTCTGTATTTCAAGTCCCATTGTTTTAACACTGTTCTTTCTTTCCAATTAAAGCAATTAATTTTTCTGAATGTCTCTTCTTTTGAATCTTCTATTTTGTTCATTTCTCACCATAATTTAAAATTGCTTCACTTTTATTTTGCCCCCAGGCCCTGTTTTTAGAAACAGCTGTACATCTAGCCTTGACATTTTCCAGGGGGAAAGATTCTTCATCTGTGTCTTGCGAGCTGTGTCCTGCTTGGGTTGATGTGGGTGAAGGGGAGCTTTGTCAGAGCACAGGACTCTGAGAAGTTTGGTCTTAATTCTGCTCAGTCTGATGGTTGATTGCTTGCTTGCCACAACTGTGTCTCATAGAAGGATGAATGAGATGTAATCTTTTCCTAAAAAAAGGAATGCAGTCCCCAGAAAGGTGTATGTGCTCTCCTGGAAGTGGCACAAAGTTTGTTTTGGGATGTAGGAGGCAAAATACACAAGAGAGGTGAGGGAAGGGGCTCWCTCTCTTTTTCTGGAAGCATGTCTGGATTTCTCTTTCAGTCATATTCAGTATTTTCTGCTCAAGTAGGTTCTCTGCAGTTTCCTGCAGTTTCAGAAGCATTGCCATACCTTATGAATAATATCATAAAAGTATTATCTGTTTTCATATCCTCTGAAATTCAGAGCCTCAATCTGATTTATCACCATTTCAGAAAGACTCTGAATGACTTTCTAGCACTACAGATAATGAGCCAGGTCTTTAGGATGCTGTGGAATTGTTGGGTTTGGGGTTTTTTTTAACTTACCTCTTGCCTCCTATTTTCTAGAGACTGATTAAAACTTTGAGATAATTTCTATTCTGCATAATCTTCATTGATCATTAGTTTCTCCATCTTTAGCTGTCACCAGTCTGGCTTCCCAGGCCCTCTCTTAAAGCCCAGCAGTYTTTACCTGGGGGGATGTTTATCTCCTGATGAGTGTTATGGATTTGATTTGTTGTTCTTACAGAGGATGGCTACTTGGCTGTTCAACTTGGCTGCTCAGCATTTGAACATTTGTAAAGTTATGGCCCACTTGGCGTAACCAAATTCAGATTTATTCTGGATCTGAATTTTCCCCGTGCTTCTAGGAAAACAAAACAGATCTCCTTAATCTGAGATGCTAAAATTAGCACAAATGCTACTCCTTGGAGAAAAGCTATTGTGGCACAGATTTGCTTTCATAGGAATGGTCTCACCCCTCTGCTGYTCCTGGGTAACAGTCTGTAGGAACTTRCAGAAGATKGYTGGGGCCAGAAGGTGTGTAAGGAASCATCAGCAACATTTCTTCCCTGTGCTGGCAATCAGAAAGCTCTGCTGTTCCCAGCAGTGTCATTTGTTGGTATTTCTTTGTGGGCTGTGTGAGTCAGCCTTTGACAGTCACTCCTTTGGACAGGCAGAGCAGATGTGCGTTGGTCGTGTGGCCACGTGGCGTCCGTGCTGTGCTGGGAACTGCTCAGRGCCTGGCTGAGGGCTCTTCCTTGGCTACCATCATCATTTTCTGGGTCACAGCCAGCATCCTGGTTAGCTAGGGGCACTCTGGCTGTTGTGAGAAACAAGGCAGACTGCTGGTGGGRAAAAAAAAAAAAAATATTTTCAGTGTGTTTTGTTCTCAAACACTTGCAAGGACAAGTAGAGAGGCAGAACTGCTGGATGAGATGCTGATTTCTTACTGCTCCTCCCTGACTCTCTAAGCTGCTCTCTGTCCTGTTTAAAAGGTGGCAAATTCTGGTTAAAATTTGTCATCTGTATTCAGCAAGTTGTATTTGACCTGAAATTCTTCGTTTCTCAAGGGTGCACTGTCAGTGATAAATTCACAGTGYTCCTGGTTCATTAAGCTTAGTAACACCTTTTGGTGCTCAAGACTCATGTTTTCTGACAAAAGACAGTGGGAAAATTACTCAGTCACAGTAAATAAGGCCATCTCCAGGTCTGTGAGTCCCCTGACCTTCCTTTTCTAGAGAATATGTCTTAATTTTGGTCACAGCTGTAAATCTGAAATGAGAGATGTTCCAATGTGCCTGCTCCCACTCTGCCTGTGGCTTAAATCCATGGTGTTTGTGGTGTTCTGCTGTCAAGTGAGAATGCAGGARCTCCTGGAGGACAGGAAGTTTTTGAATCTTCCARACTTTKGRTGAGTGATYTGATGCTGGAGAGGAGAATCAAACMCAGATTCACAGAGTGGTAAAGTTGGAAGGGACCACAGTGGCCTCCTGGATTGCTTCACCCTGCTCCACCATTGTCTCTGCAGGATTAGATACAGGATCAGTGGATGTAGGAGTAATTCAACCCTCTGTGAGTACCAGGGCTTTCAATTGCAACATTTCCTTGAGTTTTCTGGAGAAGTTTTCATTCATTTTTAATTCTTGATCAGGCTGTCAGTAGCAGGTGCTCACAGTTAATTACGTTATCTGTGCTGGTCACTTACCCATCAATAGGGACTGTAAAGGAAATCGTGTTCTGAATTTGGCTGATCTCTAAACTCCTTGTTTTTGCCTCTTTAAAAGATAACTRTAATTGCCAATGCTCAAATGAGAGAGAAACGGGGTATTTTGCAGTGCAGTTTTTTTGTGGTGTGGACCTTCTCAGGGGCTGATGTTTTTAAAAACTGTGCTGTGCTGGATGGACTACCTTGCCCTTCTCTATAGGCTCAAATTCTGCAGAGAGCACTATTGGTGATACACTATTTTCCCATAGAAAGCTGTGTAGATTTGTCCTAWTTAGAAATTAGAAATGTAGCTATCCCACATTTCTGCTGGTTTGTTCCTTAGGAGAGTAGTGACAAAGTTTCATTCTGCTGTGTGGAGTCTGAACCAATTTTATACCTTTTTAAAATGAGTGTTGCACATGCCAGGTGAAACAGGATACGTCTGCCCAGCTCTTTGTAACCTACCTGGTCATCCAGAAGCATCTTCTTTAGGACTGGAGACAGATTTCCRGAGATAAATAGAGCCAGGAATGCAATTTTTAGGGTCCATATGGAACAGGGTGATGAAAACTACACCTTTGTACAAATCTAGATGAAAATAGTTGATGCATTAGATGCTACCTGTCCAGCTTCAAAGAAGGTGTTGTAGATTTAAAACGTGTTCAGAAGACAGTAATGACAAACTCATGTGAAGAGGGATTGAAAAGATTGTGATTATAACATGCACAAGAAGATGAATGAAAGGAATTTTATTAAAGTTTGTAATAAAGTGCTTCCATTGCAGGAGATACTCTTCTGAGAAACAAGTCTAGTTTYTCCTTCCTGATTTCCCCTCCCCTTTCCCTTATTCCCTCCCACCCAAAAAGTCCATTTTGTGGAGAATCCCAAGACCTTTCATACCAAGTTTGATATTACAGGATGCAGAGATCTTCTTCAGGGATTTAACTGTGATTTCTCCTGGCTGCAGTGTTCTGCTGTGGTTCAGACAGAGGGATGAGCAGTTTTATTCACTGTGACACCAACCTTTACCATGCAGCAGTATCTGCAGCCAGTGTCAGTTCACATCTTAAGAGGACCAAGCAGCTGGGGAATGAACTGAAAAATCTTGTTTTTTTAAAAATATGTAGAATTCTTTTCTTTAGAATGTGCACAAATCAAGTTTTTCATCTTGCATTAATTTTTATAGCAGAGATCTGGGCTAGCAGAATGTTTGATGTGGAGAGCTAAAGCTGAGAAGAAAATTTGCAGCGGGAAATGAACATAAACATTGTTATGCAGATGATGAACAACACATTCTTACGTAATGGAGGTGT